TGTGTGTGGATGTTTTATTTATATTATATTACGACTCTTCCAATATAATTGTTAAAGTCATTTAGTTATCCTAACGCCAAAGTCTCGTTTCATAAAAAGTATAATAGAAAATCCGTTCACACTCTGTATTCGTCTGCTGATTGCCGTTGGCATTCTGCTATAAGTTAGTCTCCATGGAAAAGTTTTTCATTCATTACTCGAGCATCATGCATAATTTGAGCTCGGATTTCAGTGACTAGGGGTGTGTATACTGTCAAAGAGTGTAGGTGACTAACCAACCACAAACACTCCCATTAGGCCTACACTATTATAAAGGGGTACGAATCCAATATTATCGAAACGATTGCTATCTAATATTTTCGAGTGACAATATGTCTTACCTTTGCGATTGGAAAATATTAATTACTGATTACTGTATCTTCATAACCACAAGTATCCGCTGCATACGCCATTGAGAATATAAGATTGTTTGATAATGGGCCATTAGACCTGATATACCAACCCACAAAGTTATGTATAACTAGATAATATATTATGTTTAACTACCTATCAATTTTGAATGCAGTTTGTATGATACGTTAATGTTAGTTTAGTCACGCATTCCTCGATAGTGGATCGTTTTCACTATCGACTTGTTCACGGATTGAATGCTAATTCTTGTTTAAATGATTAAAGCTCCAAAGTCCAATTGTAAGTCTACTTATTCGAATAGTATGTGGGCAAATTGAATTAAATATCATAGTTTCTAAGATGAACCAATTAATTTCAAGAAAATTGTATAAATTAAGCATGAAAGGTGTTGGACTTCTTCGGGAGTTTGAGACCGACGCTCGTCGCATTGCTTGTGTCCCTTGGCAGGGCACTTTACTTACGTTTGCCTCTCACCACCCAGGGATATAAACGGGTACCTGGTAGGATGGTATGGCATTGAACGTATGGGTGGTGAGCTTAAAGCAACGTGACTAGGGATACTCCCCAGGGAGCAGAGAAGGTTTACACAAAAATGTGACCAGGGAAATAATGGTGCCAGCTCATTGTATAGTCTATACTGCGGATTGTAAGAGGCGCTGTATAAATTTAAAAAAATAAATAATAAATAAATAAATAAACAAAATTGATTCTTAGATGTGCAGATTTTAAAAAACCTTGGAAAGCAAATCATTGCAATAAAACTGCTATGATTGTCAAAGGGTGTTGAATGTTGGGTATTTAAATTTGAATGTCCGATTTGATTTCAACAAGATCATTAATATTGTGTTAGGTAGAAGCATGTCGGATATTTCGGGTAACGTTATACAAAGGTCCCGAATATCAATCCAGGTCTTAAACAAACTAAAAACAGTATGAAAATAGTTGTTTCGGCTGTATGTAGAAATCGTTATTGTATTATATTTAGTCCAAAATATTCAAATCGATGCAAAAATGTTGTATTTAATTCTATTTTTACTGGAATGATAAACACAATCAGAATGCATGTATATTATATATATAAAAATGTTGTATTTAATTCTAATATATCAGTAATGATAAACACAATCAGAATGCATGTATATTATATATATATATATATAAACATATATCAGTAAATAGGCCTATATATATTAGGCCTATATAATAATATATGCTTATATTTTCAATTTGTTTAGTTCAAAACGTTAATAGGTCTAATGCAATAGCCAAATTAAATGCAAAATAACTTAATTAAATAATAATAATAAAATTCTTTTACCTCTGCGACTTCAGCCATCTTGCTTGATGTGTTGTTTTTACAAGAGAAAGAAAGAGAAAGAGAAAGAGAGCTAGTCTACAGACAGGGCAAACCCATAGAGCAAGGTCCGACTTGCCAAGGAGTTTATCTTCTACACGATTGCGTCTCTGATAGGCGGATAGAGTGTACATAATATTAATCATACACCAGGCTACAAAATCATATCAGTGTATGACTGAAGTGTTACGTTGTTTAAAAAAAACGTATAGACGTTTTCCCACTAAATAATATAAAAAGCCGAAAACAATATTTTTAAATAGCAAATAATGACCTTTTCAAAACTATACATTAAACAAAATTGTTTAAGTCATAAATCGATAATTTCCGTTATATTGTACGCAGTAGTTTCTATATCGGTCGTAATGTAATTAATGTTTTTAATTTAACAATAAGTAAATGCTAGTTAATAATTTATCGTTCGACTTTATTGCACGTGATCATACTATTACGTGCGTGAATAATGATAATAATACCAGTAATATAAATTAAGAAGAAAAAGAGATGGAGAAAAAGAGGAATAAACAGAACTCACGAACTGTACATTTAGCATGGTGCAAGAGGCTGAAAAAAGTAGTCTTAGAAATATTCTGATTTGATAATTATATGCCTAATAGTAATAATGAATAATAATTAAACACAAATCAATCACACATTATCGACTTCCAATTCCATAAGATCATATGACGCAATTACAGGCTTATAAGGATGGATTATACATTCTATAAATAGAAAATATTTATTTATTTATTTATTTATTTATTATAAATTTAGCATAGGCCTATTTATATATACAGCACACACAAAAAGAGGCACAAAAAGACAGGTTAGAGGCATGCCAAGAGAGAATAATGGGCTAAAGCCCGACACCGGACTGAATTCTCTCTAAACCACTAACTTGTAATAAAAAAACAAGGATAAACAAAAATTAAAATAGATTTTTTACATGTTATAAATTTTTCAAGAAAAAAAATTAATAAATTCATCTATAAAAAATATTGAAAAGATAAGCTGCAGGCTACAATAAGGCAGAAGATATTAATTATTCTACCTCATTAAAATCTGCAGCTATGTGTATAAGATAATCATATACATCAATGTTGTTCTTCCCGACGACCTGTTGTTTTTGTCGGTGGCCCTGTCACACAACCACCATCCTATTGCTATTCAGTCAAGGTGGTCATAGAATCCCTGATCACAATAAACACATAGTGGATCACATGGCCGGTTAGCTCAGTCGGCAGAGCGTCCTGATCGCAAATGTTATGGGTTCGAGCCCCATATCGACTAAGTAGTATTTTTTTTTTATAATTTAGCGAATGTTTCTTACTTAGTACTACGAAATTACATCAGAAGGTCCAAAGGGGATATGACTTCTTCGGCCGCGCGAGATTTATATGGAGCGCCAGTTGGGCATTTCTCCACACCGCATGCTGTGGCGGCGTATGCCTAACTTTAAGCCTTTGCTAAACTAAATAATTGCTGTCATGTCGCACAGTAATATTTACGTATTTATTTTAGGTATTGTATGTATATACAAAACAAAACGCATTTTTTACTGTATTTTTATTCATATTTCGTCAGCTTCCTTTATCCACAAAATAGAACTTCGTCAAATAAAATTTAGAATGATAGACGTGCACAAATTTCATCCTTTATCCACAAAATAAAACTTTTTTTTAAATAATTTTATTTTTGTGTCTGTTGTCTGTTCATGTTATCTTTTCATACAAGATCGGATGTAAAATAACACATTAGCGAGGGTGATGAAAGTGTGTTATTTACAAGAGTTGGAAAAAGAAATCTAGAGTAAATTTGTCAATCATTGGTCAATAAAAATTCTTTAGGAATATCTCTCTATTCTCATGCCCTTAATGTACATACACTTTATATCATTAAAGCCAATCAATTAATGTACTCAATCAAATATTTAATTTATTGGTGATTTAAAATTCAGGTCTTTCTATTTACATTATTGAATAGTAAACAAGTGCACATGTAGTACACCATGTATTTAAAAGTATGCGAGAGTTGGAATGGAGGTTTCCGACAAGTTAGTAGGCTTAGAGGAGCATGTCAAGTAAGCTCTAACACTACAAATTGGAAAATTGAAAGTCTTATTACAGTAATCGGTTATATATTGTCAAAAACTGTAGAAATTACTGACATCAATTTTGTTCTCCCTGATCAGCTTTGTTGTTTTTGTCCTCGTCGGTGGGCCTGTCACACAACTACCACTTTCCTTATTCGGCAACCGTTGTCCCACTCCAACTGCCCTTATTGGAAAAACTGAGATGCTGGTTTCATTCCTCGAGAGTTGCTATTTAGTAAAGCTGATAATAATTCCTGATTACAATAAAGTACAGTGGATCACATGGCCGGTTAGCTCAGTCGGCAGAGCGTCGTGCTAATAACGCGAATGTCATGGGTTCGAGCCCCATATCGGCCAAGTAGTACTTTTTAAAAAATAATTTAGCGAACGTTTCTTACTTAGTTGTACGAAATTACATCAGAAGATCCAAAGGTAGTACACATGTATTTAAAAGAGATGGGATGGAGGTTCCGACAAGTTAGTAGGCTTAGAGGAGCCTAGCTGTCAAGTAAGCTCTAACAGATTGGGAAATTGAAAGTCTTATATTACAGTAATCGATTATATATTGTCAAAAACTGTATAAATTACTTACATCAATTTTGTTCTCCCTGATCATCTCTGTTGGTTTTCTCCTCGTCGGTGGCCCTGCCACACAACTACCACCTTCCTCATTCCGCCACCGTTGCCCCACCCAAACTACCATTATTGAAAAAACTGAGATGCTGGTTTCATTCCTCGGGAGTGCTACTTAGTAAAGCTGATCATAGAATCCCTGATCACAATAAAATACAGTGGATCACATGGCCGGTTAGCTCAGTCGGCAGAGCGTCCTGCTAATAACGCGAATGTCTTGGATTCGAGCCCCATATCGAGCAAGTAGATTTTTTTTTTATTTAGCGAACGTTTCTTACTTATGTAGTACCATGTGATCAACTGTAGGCATTTTATTTTGATCATGGAGTTTACTTGTGGCCGAACTGACCTGTGGCCGAGTTGACTTGTGGCCGTGTTGACCTGTTTCCTTCACTGTTCCCTGATTCTACTAAGTGCATGGTTGGCTGGGTTGTTTTAGTGTGGAAAGAGAAATGTTCTCGGTAAATTGATTCTCGAACGAGATAACGAAAGCTCTAATGACTTAAGCTACTGCATGACCGTTTTTATATTTTAATAACACCAATCTCTTCTAATTTTAAATACATTTTCCTATGAATTCGTGATAATTCGTTATCACACATAGACTTGTGCTAAATGCGTCACAAAGTTCTGATCACGCATGTGTGTCTGCAAAATGCGTGCTTCATCCACAATCACTTTTAAATGCGGGACCATCCCGCACGATGCGAGACGGTTGGTAACTATGTATCATCATCTTCATCATTATTATTGTCTTGATAACGTGGTTTTGGACACGCCCATATTTCTGTGGTGGATGAAAGTCGTGAGGCTGTATATGATAACATTAGAGATAAAGTTAAAAATATCCATTTATTCAATCAATTTGCTGTAGGATCTTGTAGACGACATTAAAAAGGAAACGAGTGGAAATTTTGAAAAGGTGCTTCTATCTCTGTTGGATCTTCCCCCGTTGTTTGATGCCAAGTGTATCGGTGCTGCTATGAAGGTACAGTACACTTGTGATTCAATATGAACAATATTACACTTGTTTGGTAATGGCATATAATACATACTACATTATTCGGAATTAGCAGTGATATGGTTTAAAGAATAGAAAAAAAATACAAGCTTTGTTACTGATTAAATTTTGCTAAGGAAATTCTGTTCTGTGACTGTTTGGTGCTCACTTCTTGCATTTCACACAGAATTCCATGTCCACCTGAGGTGGTCTTAAGGACTGTCTCCTGTAATTAATCTATTCTGTGTTATTGTAGTAAGGAACGATTATTTTTATTATAATGTTAACGTTTCAATTATATTCTTAATATAAAAATAAGACTACGGTAATCTTAAACAAAGCACCAATGAATAATATTGTAAGTAAACGAGTAAAATACGGACAAATATAGTAACATTCACTTACATCTATAATATATTGTTCGTTTGCATTTTAGGGTGCAGGAACTAACGAGAATATCCTGATAGAAATTTTGTGTACTCGGAGCAGTTCGGTAAATAGACCTACCGGTATTCTTTGGAAATATATATATATATATGGATTATATTATATACATGTACCATATGTAACATGAGGTACCGTAAAACATCGAATAGAAGCCCAATGGGCTTAATCTCGAGAAGAAGCCCATCTCGAAAAGAATACCCTTTCCCCCTTTAGTTTGCAAAAATAATCTCGAAAAGCCTCCTTCTCGATAAGAAGCCCATCGAAAATTTGTGAAAAGAGAAGCCATGACTTCTATTTGTGATTTTACGGTATATACGGTAATATTGTTTCTAAGTAGGGTGTTGCTTATAGTACATGTACATGATCATTGCTGGTATAAAATATAATATAGGTCCCCTATTTTATTTATTGAAACAGTATTTAATCATCCTACATTTCTAACAAAACGTGTTTTGAGTGTTGTGTTACTTTTCTGAATTTGTAACGTCACTACATTTTCCTTTACAGCAAATCAAGGCCATCAAAGTAGCTTACAAAGAAGGTGAGTTAGGCTGTGATCTGTCTCTTATACACATCTAGATGTTTATATTTTATATATATATAATATATATATATATATATATATATATATATATATATATATATATATATATGTACATATAGTAAAAAGATAATTTTATTTTATGAAGTGAAAGATTCTAGTGTTTGGATGTTTTTGTGACCGACGTTGTATGAAACAATTTCTCCCTGGTATTTGTTCAGGTTTCGGTCGTAATCTTGAGGACGACTTACGAAGTGAAACAAGAGGCGATTTTGAGCGTATGCTGGTCGGACTGTCTGCTGTGAGTTTCATATTTTGCGAACCAAAGGCGTGTTTTAGCGAAATTAGGGCATAAATTTTACCTTAGAAAATCGTGTATATGTTTAGAATAATTATTAAGAGTAATTTCTGGAATCGCAATTTACACATCACAAGACGATAGGCCAGATCTATAATGAATACAAATCTAGAGATGTGTTTCTTATTATTAGGCCTATTAGATTATTTTAGTGCAAAAATCTGACATGGAAACTACATAACTGGATCAAAGTCCATTACTATCAAAGAAAGTCAACAGATAATATGATATACAGCCACCCAGTCCCCACTAACAACTACTAAACAAGTGGAAATACATAAATAGTTTATTCTAAATTATATAGAATCATTCTTTCAAGTTAACGTGATTCTTCCATTATCTATAACCTAGGCCGGACGAGATGATTCAACAGAGGTTAACCACGAAAAAGTTGATGCGGATGCAAAAGCCCTTTATGAGGTACAATTATACAAAATTCATTATTATTATTTTTTACTATAGCAAATAATCATTTTAACGTTCACTCCGCTATTATAGTACTCTAGGGCTATTGAATTGCAATGGTTGAACCAAGCAATGGTTGATACCCCATTCAGACTAGCATCGCATTTCGATCGGTTGTAGCAATTGCGACACCCAATCGCACCCAATCGCAAGGTAAAATCGTGTCTGAAAGCTCACCAATAGTCGATATGTAATCGATATCGCAATTGTTACCCGTTGCGATTGGGTGCTACAATCTTTATTACTCCCGATTACCACGGAATCCGATCGCAACGAATCACAACGAATTCCACAGGCACTGTTTGGCTGAGGTCAGTCAACATAGGCCAAGCCACCGGAGGCCTAGGCCCTAGAATGTAAAATTAGTTTGTGTTGGTCTGAATGCGTTCTTTGATTGCGATCGGGAGTAATCAGTTTTGGATTACCACCGATTACATCGCAACCGATCGCAACAGAGTGTAGTCTGAATAGGGTATAAGTTATTTTACATCACCCAAATTATTGGCTGCAACCATTCCCTTGTCCTCATTTTCGTCATTTATGTCTGTTTATGTATCTAGCTTCTCCCGACGGTACACGACAGTACCAGTGTCGCATAATGTTGTTGCCCTCTTGAATTCGTTATCTGCACCCCACACCATTCCAAACCTATAATTCAAAATTTATAGTGAATATAACCCAATTCGATCCAGACCATACGGTATGTTGCTAGTAAATTTGTTACATGAGGGGCTAAGTCATCAGGAACTTTGGCCCATATGTGTACGCAATTACTAGACTGCTAATAAGTAGCAAGATATACAAGTATAATTGAAAATCGGCCTCGAATCTTGAAATTTATTCTACTTTAGGCTGGAGAGAAGAAGTTTGGGACCGACGAGTCTGAATTTCAGCGAGTGCTACTTGGAAGAAGTTATGAACACCTGAGGGCGGTATTTGATGCTTACTCAAATGTAAGTACCGAATTTCCCAGCAAACATGTAGGCCCATAATTACCGCAGTGCAACATAGGTTAAATATATTTTCTTCTTTCAATTAGCTGCTAACATTTTTTAAAATACTGCAAATTATCATATTTGCAAACATGTGAAATAGGCCTACGTAACTCATACACACTTTTTTTTTTATTATGCTTTGTTAGATCTCTAAGAAGTCCATAGAAGAGGCAATTAAAAGCGAAATGTCCGGTGACTTAGAGAAAAGTTACCTTACTATAGGTAAGAATATAATATTGTAAAAATATGGTGTAGGCCTGTCTAGATTCAATGGTATGGAGTGGTCTTTGTGTCTTGTAGTGCAATCCCATCGTATGAGAGTGGAGATCAGGTTCATCAAAATAACATAATGTTTGATTAGACAAAAATTGACTCCTTGAATTTTCAGTTTTTAAATTATCCATTTACCGCCAAACATCAGCTATTACCCATGATGCCAATGTATCTGGTTATAATATTTAAGTTTGTTCTTATTGTCCTGTAAATCTAAGTAATTGTGAGGCTCGAACCCAAACAAATTTTTAAGATTGTATATTTATTGTGAAAAAAAAATGAATTTACATATTTAAGCAAATTTTAACATTAGTCTACATACCATAATTATTGTATCCTATTTATGTTCATGTTATGTCATTAAAGTGCAAAATAAAATACGGTATGTTGTATTAACTGCCTGAATACTTATTATACTATACTATTTATTTAGTCAAGTGTATCCGTAACCCGAGTGAATTCTTTGCGGATGTACTAGCCAGCTCGATGAAAGGAATGGGCACAAATGAAGCAAAACTGATTCGCTGCTTGGTTTCACGTAGTGAAGTGAGTATTAGCCTAGGTTTGTCAAAATCAAAATAGCACATTTAAGAAATTTTTAGCTACTTAATTACTCTATTCAGATATTATGCGTGGAATATCGCGTTAGTCGCATTTATTGTGTAGACCGTTGCTTTACCTGCGTTCAAATAGTATATTTCTAATTACAGGTTGATCTGGGCACAATAAAGGAGGCGTATGCTGCCAAGTATGGAAAGTCACTCCGTGATACTATTAAAGGTGAAACGCGTGGTGACTTTGAAAACGCGTTACTTGCTATCATTCGTGAGCAGTGAATTTAGATTTAATCAGATAAAACATTCTCTTCTGTTCTACTCTTCTCCTGAAATCTAGGCGTTTATGACTTTTGTTCTAAAATTTGTATCTGGTAATTAAAAAATGAAATAAATACACAGCATGAATTACCTTAACTGCAATATTTAAAGTCAATTTAATTATTCAAGTTTATATGTAAGATAATGCTTTACCAACGTATGTAAAACTGAGTAATTAATATTAAGCAGAAATTATCATGTGTAATGTTGATAATTAGTATACAACTGAAATTATCAAGTATGTATTAATCAACTAATTAAAGTAAAAAAGTCTTGAGAAATCTAATGCTAACATAAAATGAGGCAAATCAATAGTCTTTGTGTTACAAATGTGTATTTCTCAAATCTATTATGCAATCATTATTTGGCAATATAGAATCATACCATGCCAACAAACTACTGTAGTCATGGTGGGGCAGTACAGTAAAACAGTAGGCTTCATTAATGGTACGTTCACAGAAGAATGTAACACACTGATAGAACTCGTCCTCAGTGACGAGTTCAAATCTAGTTTATTCTTCTTTCTTTCTCCCCTTTTCTGTTCGCACGATATCTCAAAAAGGGGTTTTGACATTGCGACTCTTCAGCATCATGATACACACTTTTGTGTATTATAAAACCTCGTAATTACCTTATTCTATGTCCAGACTTAGGCCCTATCCACAGCAAAAATATAAAGGGTCGAAAATGTTTAAACATTCTACTATTTCTGTTAATAGTTCTAAATTATTTAATATGATATAATGAAATATGATTTCCTATATGAATAAAATTAATAAAATTTAAAAATCAATCAGGCCTCTATTTCAATAAGGCTAATTAATTGTTCAAGACAGGGACCAGCATAGTTTCTCTTGACGTCATCTCCTATACTTCGCACATAAAGTTCTTGGTATCTTCCGCTAACCTGGTCTAAATCAACCTGTAGACGTTTATAATAAATTAACTGTCAGGAACATGATATTTTAGAAATGGTTGTAATATTGCAATGTGTACACACCTTGTTCTTTGTGTTTGTGTCATGATGGGCACTTCTATAGTAAAATGCAATAAATGAAGGTCTATTACGAAATACAGTATGTTAAAATGTCTAATTTCACTTTGCTTGCTGTGCAATGTAAAATACAGCATTCAGGTTATATATTTATTATTATTATTATTATTATTATTATTATTATTATTATTATTATTATTATTATTATTGCTATTGTTATTATTGTTATTATTATGATTGTTATGATTATTATTATTATTATTATTATTATTATTATTATTGCTATTATTATTATTATTAGGCCTATTATTATTGGCCTATTATTGTTATTATTACAGTAGAACCCCTCCTTTAGGACACCCTGTTAAAGAGACACCCCTATTAAGAGGACACTTTTTCGGGCACTAAATGAGGGAAAGTATATCTTTTAACCCCAATTCAAGGGACACCTCTATGGTGTGTACACTTTTCTTCGGTCCCGAAAGTGTCCTCTTAATAGGGGGTTCCACTATATTGTTATTATTATTATTATTATTATTATTATTATTATTATTATTATTATTATTATTATTATTATTATTTACCTTATTATTATCATTTAAATGTTATTGGGTTTATTTGAATATGTATTATCATTACTGTCTTATGAATAATCACATTCCAATGATCTGTTATCACTCCAACACCAGTAATTAATAATATAGTTAAAGACTTGATTGATCCCATGAATAATATCAATGGATGAACGTTAAACATAGCGTAACAACTTTAAAATACAAACATTATATTTTGGAGCTCCTTTTTGTCAGTGATACATGCATGAGGACTTCATTATTGATAACTAATACAATTCCATAATTAGACGATACATTATCAATTTAGATCAGATATAAATAATTACAGTTACATGAATTACCTCTGCTCGCTGTGCGAGTATTTGCGTAAGTTGACGCGTTGGAAATGGCGTTACGTTTACCAAGCGATGGATAACGGCTGCCCAGTAATCAACACTGCTCCTGGCATACTCAACTAAAATAAAATCCATCGCATACAATACAATATTTGTATATAAAATGTATATATAGTAACATAAATATTATAATTATTCCATTGTTTGTATGAGAAGTTTACAGATATTAACGCCCTAAATTTTAGTCAGAAATTGCAAAACCTTTTAATATATTTTTCTGTAAACATCCGATGCTATTATAATATAACGGAGCTTATTATAATAAAAACATTACTTTTAATAAAGTTAAAGTTGCCGTGTAAAAGTAATTTTTATATGAAAATATGTAACTGAATTATATGTCGATATTCTAATTATCACACTGGCCTTATTCAGTGTTTACCTACCAATTTTAATGTATCCAATCGTATAAACTTCTTCCAATTCGCTAGCCAAGAATTCAATTAGATCACCATGTAACTTGTAAAATAAAAGAATATTATAAATAATACACAAAACAAAAGGAAAGACAGTTTACTGCTTTTGAAAATACATTTTGGCTCTCCATAGTTATCATTATTTGTGGATCTTACTGATGCAAACTCATCGTAAATTCTTCGAATGTCTTCAAAACTTCGGATAACGAGAACACTTTGAACATCTACGTCGGTACCCTGAAAGTCAAAAGAAAAATCTATTAAAAATATGTACAGTTAGTTATTTTGCATCGGAATTTTCCATTGGTTGCTGACTTTATGGGGTTTTTTGTGTTTTTATTTTTTTTATTTGTTTCTGTACTTTCTTATAATAAATTGAATAAGAGTTACTCAGTTAATGTTCTTTTTTAATTTCTTGTATTTCTTAGTAAACACATACTTCTGTAATCAACTTCACGTCTTCAATTATTTGTGAGGCGCTTGCTACTGTCGTCTCAGCCCGCATTCCCTAAAAAAATAAATATACAATAATTATTAACTATTTATTACGAATATGTTTACATGGTACAACATTATGTTTTATGTAGCTTAGTAAATTATTAGTGGTAGTAGAGCAGTGGAAGAGTAGGCATGTACTGTAGTATTAAGTAGTACAAGCATTAACAGCAGCAACGGTATATCAGCAGTAGTAGTAGTAGTAGTACTGCTAGTGTAGCAGTAGCAGTTAGTAATAGTACAGTAGTAGTAGCATATGTTGTTTTTGTGATAATATATAATACTGTATTACCATGAACAAGGACAATATCAATATTTCCAGAGTTGTAGTATTTCCACTTGTTGCAATTTTTGAATGGATACTCGCATTGTACTCTAAATGATAATATGATAAATAATATATTGATAATGTTGATTGATATATTGAGTGCTTTAATAATAATAATAATAATAATAATAATAATAATGTATACATATAACATTTATACTTGTTATAAAATAATATAATAACGTCTATAATTTACATATCGTATGATGTATCAACCTATCGCCTATACAATTATATGATGCCCGCGCTTAGGTGGTATTTATAGGTCCAAATACAAGTAAGACAGAGTGAATGAAACTATTATTTTAAAAGATACCGGTAACACAGAAAGAAAGCAGCCCCACCCCCCCCCCCCCCTCCAAAAAAAAAAAAAAATAAATTGTACAACTTGACATCAACAAATCTTACTAATTTTATATAATTTTATCACACTATTTAGAATCTAAATATATTATAAAACATACATGGTAATCCATTATATAAATACAATGATATGAAATAAATAGATAAAAACATTACCTTGGAGGAATGATTCTTGTACGGTTGATATTTCCTGCAATATTTAACCATATGTATCAAACTATTTACTAATCACTAATAACTGTATTAATATTGAACTAAACAGATAACAAATAACTATTTTTAGTATAAGTTTTATTTTTTTTATCATTCATTTAAAATTAATGTTTAAGATTTCAGTTACTCATACAAATTAATTTCTTTATGAACTGTAATTTTTTTTTGTATTGGCATGCATAATATTTGGGCCAGATATCTAGCTACTGAGTTATTAAAGACTGAGTCAATAAGTACTAAGATTATATTTTACCTGACTGGTAAGAGTTATCATTATCTCAAGGACCGATTCTGCGTCGAATGTGTTTGAAGTCAGATTGTGCAGAAGCCGCACCATGGATTCCATGGCATTTTCCAGTAGCATACTGATGCAGGCATGGGTGTCACTTGAAGAAACATTTTTTAGGTATTCGTCCAGTGTCTGGATTTGAATATAATAAGCCATTACATTAATTAAACTACAAGCAGTAATACTGTAATTTTACTATAAAAATTATTAGCAAGTATGTATATCATAGATTGAACTTGGCGAAATATAAATATACTGGAATTAATATATTATCTCAACATTGCATTTCTAATTCATCTCATGCTATTTAAAAAAAAATCTACTCATTACCTTCAATTTTCACTAATGTAGTTCATAATATTTGTGATGTCGACTAATACGACTCATAATATTAACGCTCCCAATGTTTATTAAAAAAATAAATATAACTCACATATCCAAAAGCGGCGAGATGTTTGTCGTGTATCAATATCCTTTCTCTCATATTCAAAACGGAAAAGAATCTGCTTATTGTAGTGTCAGCATTTTCTGAAATTAAAATTATTATTATTATTATTATTATTATTATTATTATTATTTTATTATTATTATTAGGCCTACATTATAATCATTATCATTATTATTGTTATTATTATTATTATTATTATTATTATTATTATTATTATTATTATTATGAATATCTATTAGATATCAATAAATCAGTAAATACCAGTTGACGCATTATGCAGGGCAGCCAATTTTTGGTGTACATCAAACTCCACTTTTTCTCGTGATTTAAAGGTTCCCTGTAAGAAATATATTTTATTCAGTCCTAAACACCAATATAGGCCTATTCAAACAACTGCATACAGTAACCTTCAAGTTATCATGCTGTATTTACCTCTATATATTGTAAAATCCAAAATTATTTCATGGTGTATAGATAAGACGAATTTATATTTGATTTGACAATGCAATTTATTGAAATCCTCATAAGGCCTAATTTACAATTGAGCGTTTGAAACTGATAGGAATAAAAGCTTACATAATGCAGACCTAGGCCTATTGCAAAAGACTTGTGAAGTAAGGGCTACAGTGATGTATAATAATATCACAACAATGTGTCTTACCTGACAAAGTCGCGTTTCCTCTTCGCTTTCAATACAAGGGCTAATGTTACACATCCTCGGAACCAGCTGTCGATTACGATATTGATACGGAATCTGTTTAATCCATTTAAAAAACAAAGGTATTTCTAATACACTGTACACTCTAGATCAGAACATGTCATGTGTTGTCCGTCTTTAATAAATGTCTACATAACAAAATTGATTCGAACGTTTTCAGTTTGTTAAGTTCATTTATGTTGAAAATACTAGATCAAATTCTAATGATTTAACCATTATTAAGTGCAATACTGCGTCTCATAAGTCATTTTACTTTTTCAAAGAATTACTGCTTAGTGCAATATTCTGCCTATTTATATACGGAATGCACCGATGTTATATTTTTAAACAAGGAGCAAATGGCTTCTATAAAAACCTGTTCGAAACTAAATATGAAATTGGAAATGTGCTAGATGCTGGTTCTAATTTCCGTTATTATGCGAGCTGGTTGTTTTAAACGATCTTGTGATGATAATGTATCTTATATTTATTTTATTTATATATTTTTAAAAATTCAGTTTACCTGCTATGTGTAATAAGGGGATTGGCTGTTTCAGAGGTGTATTTCACCTGTTAGCCTTTCATTGGTAATGTTTTCATATGATGTTTTCTGAAGTGTTTTTGTTGCAAAGTGAATTTTAATAAATAATAAATAAATATGGCATTTTTCTGTCTCTGTAGACAATGGAGTTCTGCGTTGTAAGATTGTTTCAATTTCGAAATTATATTTATCAAGTTAATTTTCTTATAATTAAAACAAGTTTATTGTCTACTTAATTTAAAACAATTATTAATTTTATTAGTTTATTGTATTAGGTTGCATCTCTATTAAATTGGTTTGGTTATTATTATTCAATTAAAAATTGTATTAGTTGTTTATAATTATACGACATATAACAACATACAACATACGACATAGTAGTTTAATTAACTCACCACATCATTACAAGGTGAGTAACATCCACTCCATGTGCTCCAAGATATAGAACCACATATATTACTAAATTGGTCGATCAGTGAATGCGTCGTAATATTTACTGTAGTCGCTTCTGGAATCGTCTGTGTCAAGTTCCCTACTGTTTGAGTAATACACGCTTCGATGTCACTAGGAGACCCACAGGGTGACCCAATGCAGAAAGTTGATGATTGGCTTCGCGTGCGCGTTCTTTCATTTTGTTGACATTCAGACCAGTTTGTCCATTCCGACCAGAAACAGAATTCGTCACAACATTCGACCGAACAGTTTGTTTGCTCTATTGGTCCACATGCTCCTGAACACCATACCTTAATATCATCATTCCGAGACCTACGGCAATCATTAAAGAGAACCTGGGAGTCTGGATTACAAAATGTACATGTACAGTGCCACAAAGTCCAAGCGGTAGGCTGGCAATTTCCACTGCAGGATCGATTTTCTTCAGTTGTACCATTGCAAACATTATTTTCACATGAACTATCTGTAAACCTAATTCTGGACTGAGTTCCAACATTTTCAGCGCATGCAGTTGAACAGTTAGTCCAAGCTGTCCACTCTGTGTACATACAGCAGGTGTCTAGACATATCTTTTCTTCCATTATTCCTCCGCACGGGTCACCGACGCAAAAACTCGATATCACATTTCTATTCCGTATAGATACACCATTACTACAATTACTCCACGAACTCCACTCATTCGTTGAACAAAACTCATCGCAGCATGGCTCAAGACATTCTTCTTCAATCAGTTCTCCGCATTCACCATTGCATACACCGTGTTCGGTCCTAGTCCGTTGGCAGAGGCTGTACAATGTAAATAATTGGGGATTACAGAATACACAAGAGCATCTCCAGGAACTCCAGTTACTAAGTTGACAATCTCCTGTACAGTTTCTTTCCTCGCTTTCATTCAAATTTATCTGGCATATTCCCCCACATTTGGCTTCTGTAATATTTCTTGTTCTTAACTGAATCCCCGTAGACAGAGTGCACAAAGTTGAACATTCGGTCCAGGTTGACCATTCACCAGCATTGCAATCTGTGGGACAACATTCAATAGAGCATAGCTCATATTCGTCTATCTCTTCACAAGGTTTACCAAGACAGAAGCCTGATTGTCGCTCTCTTGTCCGAACTCGTATTCCATTGATAATCTCTTCACATGTAGCATTACATGCAGACCACTCTGTCCATTCATTAACATAACAAAACTCGTCACAACATTCTTCTCCGCAAGTACTTTCGGTCAGATCACCACATTGGCCGCTGCAATTGGCATTCGTCTCTGTACGTTGCCTGGAACAAATTTCAGATAGTAAAATATCGTCCGACGAACAGAAGTTACACTGACAACTCCACGAGGTCCAGTCACTTAAAACACATGCACCTGAACACGTATCTGTATCCTGTAATGCATCATCACAGGTAATACCTCCACATGCTTCTTGAATAAAATCACGTGTTCTGCTTCTTGTCCCATTTAACGCAGAGCAATCGGAAGAGCATTCCGACCATTCGCTCCATTCTAGAAGCATACAGTCCCGAGGACAGCAGGCAGAGTTGCACAATCTAGTTTCAAACATATCATCACACGGAGGTCCCAAGCAAAACTGTGATATCTGAAGCCTCGTTCTATTTTGTGATCCAATAGTTTCACTGTCACATGGTGATGAGCATTCTGTCCATGTACTCCATTCACCCACAAAACAAAAGTTGTCACAACATTCTTCACCGCAATATTCTTCTTGAAGGGTGCCACAGGATTCAAAATCGATGCATTCTTGAGATTGATCTCTAAATCGCGTACACATATTATGGAGAAGTTGATCATCTTGGCTACACACAAAGCATGCGCATGACCATGAACTCCAGTCTGATAACATACACGTACCACTGCACTCAATAATTTCTTCATCTTTAAAGTCAGTACATTCAATTCCACCACATTCAGCGTGAACTATGGTTCTATATCTACGCTTATTTCCTACTTCGGTGGAACAATGAGTAGAACAGTTACTCCAGTTTGACCAAGAGCTTATAGAGCAATTGACTGGGCAGCATTCTGAAAAGCAGCTTTGCTTTTCAATCAATGGAGCGCATGGATCAGCTACACATGAGGCATTGTTAACCGTCCGATATCGCATTTGATAACCTTGTCCTGTCACACCACATTCTAAGCTGCATGAACCCCAAGAGCTCCAATCTGTCAGACTGCAATCAGGATCGCAACATTGGTCCATACACTTTCTTTCAATTGTGTAGCCACAGCTCCCGTTACAGGTATCTGGACTGGTCTCGTTTCTTGTCCGTGTACAGTTTTGGTACAGATTGTCACTAGTTGTGTTACAGGGAACGCACTCACACGTCCAGTCACTCCATTCATAAAATCCGCACGAGCCTGAACATTGTTCAACCTGGTATACATAGGTGTCATTTAGGTCACATGATCGTCCACCACAAATCTCTTTCACTATTTCTCTAGTTCGATAAGAAATTCCGACTTCAAAGTAGCAAAGCACACTGCATTGCGACCATGTACTCCAGCTCCCAATTTCACAGTCTTGAGGACAGCAAGTTGGATAGCACTCCTCCTCTTCGTACATTACATCACATGGGTCAGTGTTACATTCATTAATAATGTAGCGTTCTCTGAATATTGTTCCCGGTTCAAGTGTGTCACATGACTTGGAACAATTTGACCAATTGCTCCACTCACTGAGGACACATTGTTCGTCACAACATACCTCACCGCAAATGATTTCTTCAAGATTACACGTTGTTGCTAGGCAGATTCCTTGGTCAATAATTGATCGGTGTCGATTGCAATTTAGCCTTGAATAGTTGTAACCGTAACAATAACCACATTCACAACTCCACAAAGACCACTCTGAAACCTGACATTCTCCTGTGCATGACCTTCTATCTATCTGGTTTTCAGATGGGTCACAGACAGTTCCCCCACATGATCCGTTCTGTAGTTCGCGTACACGATGCTGCATGCCGTAATCCCCGGAACACTGCGCTGAACATACGGTCCACTGCGACCAATCACCGATTGTACAGTTAACAGGACAGCACTCTGAGCTATAACAGATACGTGTCTCATGCAACTCGTCACAGGGTAGGCCAACACAATCAAATGATGAATTACGAAATCTTTCTTGTAAAGAAGTACCGTTCATTCCGCATGATGCAGTGCATTCAGTCCAATCCGACCATGAATGTACAAGGCATGAGTCATCACAGCAGGCATCCGTACATTTTATTTCTATGGTATTACAATGATCATTGCAAAAGTCATCTAGTATCTCTGCTCGTTCTCGTGTACAGTTTTTAAACATACTCTGAGATGTTGGATTACAATATTTGCAGTTACATTCCCATTCAGACCAAGAACCTACCTCACAATCACCATAACAAACTCGTGTTTCATATGGTGATTCCACAGAACATATTATTCCACCACATGTTCCCTGTAACATACTTCTTTCACGAGTTTGTATACCCAACGAGTCAGAGCATTTCGATGAGCATGGCAACCACTCATTCCAGTTTCCTAGAAAACAGTCTACGGGGCAACAAGAGTCGTTGCAGACGGAAGTATCGATAGTCAAATTGCAAGATGGAGCAAGACACCAAATAAGAGGTTCTCTTTGTCGTTCTTTTAAAGCAGCGTTGCTCGTATTGCAATCAAGAATACAAGATGACCAATCTGACCATTCACCCAAAATACAAAAATCATCACAGCATTCATCAGAGCACACACGTTCAACCAACGATCCACATAACGCGTTGGTACAGTAAGCTGGTTCAATTTCATATCTCTGGCGAATGCAGTCATGTTTCAAGATTCCATTTTGATCACAGAAGTCACATTTACAATCCCAGTCTGTCCATTCACTAAGAGAGCAATTTCCATAACAAGAAGAAATTTCAATCCCAGCATCCTCTGTACAAAGATCGCCACCACATGACCCTTGAATTATTTTTCTAATGCGGTATGTTAAACCACTCTTGTCAGAACATGACGATGAGCATGTTGACCATAGACCCCACTCGTCCATTTGGCAATCTGTGGGACAACATTCTGGACCTAAACATTCTTTTGACTCGTAGACAGCTCCACAAGGATTTGAAAAGCACGCCGCTATGGGTTGCTTTGTTCTGGTTATGAATCCAGTCACATTGGTTCCGCAAGTAGCATCGCATTCCGACCACTCAGACCATTGACTCAGTTCACAATATTCGTCACAGCAAGCGTCATTAGAACACGTAATCTCCAATAATTCACCACATGCGTTATTACATATTTCAGGATTGACCTCAAGACGTGTTCTAGAACATTCCTCGTGCAGATTGATATCTTTAGAATCGCAAATAGAGCATGTGCAGTTCCACGACGACCATTCTGAGAGTACACATTCACCGTGGCATGGACGTGTTTCATAGCTGTCGTCAAGTGTGCAGTTTATTCCACCACAGTACGATTGCTCTATATCTCTTGCACGTACTTGTATTCCTGTGACATGTTGACAAGATGTTGAACACGAGAACCATTCACTCCACTCATCCATCCAACAATCTACTGGACAACACCCAGGAAGGCACGATCTAATCTCCGTTAAATTATAGCAAGGATCACTTTGACAAAGTCCAATAGGAGTACGCTTTCTGGTTTGCTCTCCTATAATGTCTGTGCCACATGGAGCACTACAATTACTCCATTCCTCCCATTCACTCACGGCACAGAACTCGTCACAACACACATCAAAGCATCCGTACTCTTCCAAGGCTCCACATATATTTGTACTTATACAGTTATCAGAAACCACATGAAACCTTTCTCGAACGCACGATTCATGTAACTTGGCATCCCCGTCATTGCATAACTCACACATACATGCCCACGTACTCCAAGGCGACAGTGTACAATCACCTCTGCATATATCTACCTCATATGAATGTTCATCGGTACACATTTTGCCTCCACAATAACCTTGGTCGTAATCTCTATACCTCACTCTGTAGCCTTCTTCGTCATTACAAAGACTCGAACATGCAGACCAATTTCCCCATTCGCCTAAGGTACAGTTTAAAGGACAACAAGACAAAGCAGCACATGTTCTGTTTTCAAATAATGTTTCACATGGATCTGACATACATATACCATCAATACTCCGCTCCCTAAACTCATACCCTGTAGTGCCTGTCATACATGGGGCTGAACACTCTGTCCACTGACTCCAAGGTAATATATTACATAACTCATTACAACAATTTCCAGAGCAAGTGCGTTCGTATAAACTTCCACAAGGATCTGAACCTTTGCAATCATTAGAAATAATCTCTGTGCGTGTTCGCAGACAATCGTTATGGAGACTCGGGTTGCTAGATGAGCAGGAGCTGCACGCACAATTCCACTGAGACCAAGATGAGACCTCACAATTACCATAACAGCTACGAACGTCTATTGCTTCTGTCTCAGAGCACATTTGCCCTCCGCATGATCCTTGAATAATATCTCTGAATCGCACTTGCGAGCCCATAATGCTACTACATCCACTGCTGCAAACTGACCAATTCTCCCAACTTCCTAATGTGCAGTTTGTTAAACAGCATTCGTACCCACACTGCCGTTGAATAAAGACATCAAAGCACGGCCGACCGGTGCATGAACCACTTACTTGGCGTGTTCGTTCCTGTGTGCCATTCACATCTGATTCACAACCTACTGTACATGCTGTCCATGTGGACCATTCCTCTGCGATACAAGAATAATTACAACACTCCTCGTCAAAATCTCTGCAAATTGTTTCATAATCATTACAAAAACTGCATTCTTCAGAAGCAGGAACTGTTCTATTTCTTGAGCAGTAGTTGTACAATACGCTTTGGTTTCGTTTCGAGCATGTCTGACAATCACATGACCACTCCGACCAACTACTGATGTTACAGTTGCCTTTACAACTTTCAATCTCGAAACGATCTCCTTCTGTGCAAAGTGTGCCATTGCAAAAACCTTGAATAAACGGACGGTATCTTACTCGAGTACCTTCGTTAACCGAACAATCACTGCTACATGACGACCAAGACTCCCATGAAAGAACTATGCAATTTTCCGGACAACAGTGAGATGTAAAGCATTCTTTTTTCTCCAATACGCTATCACAAGGCACGTTAATGCAAGACTCAGAGGGCTGGCGTGTTCTTGTTGTATTTCCTTTTTTGTCTATTCCGCATGGTGCATCACATAATGTCCATTCGCTCCATTCACCTACTGTACACAACTCGTCGCAGCAATCCCCTTGACATTTGTATTCGGCGAGACTTCCGCAGCTGCCATCACATAATTCTGAATGTATCTCATTTCTCCGTCTGGAGCATTCCCTGTGAAGACTATCCGGATCATTTTCATCACAAGGAGAGCAAAGACATACCCATTCCGACCAGGTATCTAGTCGACATGCTCCTTGGCATGATCTTATATCATACCAATCATCATCGATACAGATCGATCCTCCACATGAACCTTCATTTACGTGTCGGGTACGTATTTGTGTTCCAGTATCAGACTCACAATGTGCAGTACACTCCGCCCACTCACCCCACTCCTCAACACTGCAATGGATTGCACAACATGATGCGTTGCAGAAACGTGATTCTTCTAAACTCTGGCATGGTCGACCGGCGCATTGAACGATGTGTGAACGAGTTCGTGTCTGCTGTCCAATGTCTACAGAATCACATGGCGCAGAGCATTCTGACCACTCACTCCAATTATTCAGTTCACAATCAGAATCGCAGCATTCTCCCTCAAAGCAAATTTCCTCAATAGGTTCACCACATTTAGCATTACAATTGACTGGAATTGTCCTTGTTCGGACGCAGTGATCATAAATAACCGTCGAGTTACCCATACATGGTTCACATGTGCAATTCCAGGTAGACCAATCTGATAGTACGCATGCACCGCTACACGATACTACCTCTGAGGCATCAAACATTGAGCACATATATCCACCACATGATCCCTGTATCATGTTCCTTTCGCGCGTTCTATAGCCTACCTGGGTAGCGCATTCAACTGTGCATTTTGACCAGTCACTCCATTCTCCAAGTTGACAATCAAATGGACAGCATACATCATTACAAGTCCTCTCTTCATTCATTATATCACATGGTACTGAACATTGTCCATCTACACTCGTTCGGTTCCGAAACTGTCTCCCAGAAAACTCGCCTCCTGAACATTTACATACTGACCACTTGTTCCAACTCGTCACCGCACAGAACGCGTTACAACACTGACCAACGCATCCAGATTCGAATGTTTCGCCGCACTCACTATGACATCCGTCTGCATGATCTACTAGCTCTCTTGTTCGGAAGCAACTTTGTTTCGTTTCGCCCGATTCGTCGCATACTGAGCAAATACAACCAGCCCAATCCGACCACTTAGTAAACACGCAATCTTCCTCTATACAGTTTCCGTATACGCAAGATGATAGAGTAAACAGAAAAAGCACTTGGATACCAAGAGCAGCAGCCCCGACATTTTTAGTATAATACATAACTAATGTGTTAAAATTAAAGCAACAATAAATAGGCCTACTTCAACATTTTGAAATAATCATTCCATCCTTATTACTTATGCCAGATTGAAAGTTTCTATTTGCTATATTCGCAATCGGAGTTTACCTCTTACTTACGTCACAAAAGATGAATTTTAGCAAATCTAGTCTGAAATGAATGCCTCAGTTTTACAACACATGTGCTTCTCATTTTACAATTCATTCATTTATATGGAAATACTAAACCACTGCGAGCGACAGATTGTAGAATTTTTGTGCATGCGAAATATAATAATCTGAACTGATCCGAGTGTTACAAGGTAGTATATAACAGGGGCGGATCCAGTGGGGGGCACGGGGACAAGTTCCCCCTCCGCTTTGCCACCAAATTTCAAAATTTTAAATGCAAATCAGTGTTATGTGTTACTCGCTTACCTATTCTGAGACTGTTGTGTCACACCCATTTTAAAAAATTCTGGAACAGTGATAAAAACATTATAAATATACATTTTGATAATTAATACTTGTAGCATTGAGAATTATAAAAAAATAAAGGCAAACAGATTATAATAGTATAATATCCAACAAACCACCGTTTTATACGTTATATGCCAGCATTATTTAACCTAACAGTGCATATGTCTTATATTGATGACTTGGAGATAACGAGCAAGGATGTCCTTGTATATGAAAATAAAAGGTTGTTGTAATCTATTCAAGTCAACCTTTATTTTGGAATTTAGTTCATAGGAAACGAATATAACACACATATTTCGAAAAAACATAATCAAATCAAATTAGAGAAACAAGTTTTAGGAATGGTAGTGGTGGTGGTGGCTGGTGGTGGTGGTGGTAGTAGTAGTAGTAGTAGTAGTAGGAGTAGGGCTAGTAGGATGACGTTGGTCAACAACATTTTACACTGTTCTCACGAATATCACGGTTGATTGCACAAAAAATATCATATAATAAATGTTTTAACTTGATATACGTTTTGCTAATGCCGTAGTTATTATGTAGTAGACTACCTTTGGCGCCTAACGGTCAGTTTCAAATGCTAATGACACGTGTTCCCACGTTTTGATACCACGCATGTAGATAATAATATGATCGTGAATCTACAATGTAACTGAACTCTTTTTTTTTTCTTCACTTTGCTTCACGCGTGATATGGTCATTTGCGTAGCTTTTAAGTTGTATTCACGGTTGAATAGTTTTTTCGGGTTTCATTTAGCATCCTGTAAGTTTCAATGATATTTAAACAAGTTCGTGAATTACGTTTGGTCAGTTGATAAGCGAGAGAAGAAGACGGCGTTTATACTACGATGGGAGCAACTGTCATCGTTCGTTTAGCCATCGACATATTTTTATTTATTAGTATTATTAGAAATTCGTCTGCTCAAACATGCCAAACTGGCGATTGCACATATGGTGAGGTCTCTTATACACATCT